AGCACGAATTCTCCTTGACGGGGCAGGTGTGACTGAGCACGGCCGAGACGTGTTCTTTGAAAGTTACGAGTTGGAAAAAAAACCCCGACCAGGAAGGAAGGATGATATTGAGCTTGGAGAAAAAAAAATTAGGTCGGCCTCGGCGGAAGCAGAGGATGAAGATGAAAGGTTTGGTCGTTCAAGTGTGGGGGAAAGGCCCGAGTCTACTTCGAAAAGAGACCGAAGCTGGTTGAGGGCTGGTTTGCAGAGGGGAGGAGGGGTCAGCTTGTAAGTTAGTGAGGATGGATGGATGGGGCTGGGTGAGACTTACTGTCAGAAATTTGATAATTCTCTATCTGGGGAAGGGGAAATAGAAGAGGAAGATGAAGAAGAAGAAGAAAAGGAAGAATCGTCAAAAGGCTTGCGGAAGGGAAGCACTACGAAAAAAAAACCAAAGCCAACGAAGGCCTAGCAGGGAGTGATTAAGTCAAAGAAGTATCTAGTGGATGGCCAGTGTGACAGTCACCATTGAGGGTTAGTCGGATGGAGAGAGTCGTTGGGCAGAGTATCACTGAATTCTTTGCAGGGACAACAGCCGGCTCGGGAAGCTTTCTTTTGAGAAAGAGAGCGAGTGAAGGGCGAGCGAACAAGGTGACTTTCACCACTCCAAGACTGAGTACAAAAGTGGGCAGAGAGCTGAGCAAGTCCCCCTTGGTAGCGAGAGGGGAGGGCGGAGGGCAAGGACTTAACCTAGGAAAATCAAAAACAAGGCTGAGAGAGGGCTGGAGGAGGCAGTACACCACCACAACCCCCTCATGCAAGGCTAACCAACAGACATATCACAAGACCTGTCTCAAGGGAGTCCATGTCCCAGCGAGAAAAAGAACCCCCTTCCCCCCATCCAACGCAGCTGCTCAACCGAGAAAACTGAAAAACCCTTGCGAAGAAAACAGCAGTGTGCGAATCTGAATTGTTTCCTTCACAACCACAAACAGAAATCAAAAACATCTACTACAATCGGATCCCAAAACGGGTTTGCTTTCCACACCATCAGAGCTCGGGAAGGTCGCCAGCCTGTCTGCATCGCCCCGACTCCAATCCCTCCATCTGGCCCCAGAGCCAAGATAAGAAGAATCGGGAACCGGTTCCATTATGTATGGATGGCTTTATAGCAATATCCACATGGTGAGGGTCATGTACGCAAATGTTGTGCTCAAGCCATTTTTGAAACGATCACTGCCATCTGGCTTCCTTTCAAGTAACTGTCATATACTTGAAAGTTCTGGCCAAGAACATTGTACATACCTCGTTCGGCCCAGAAAGAAATCGATGTATGTATACAAACATGCCCGAACTCGGGCCGACTGCAGGACTGTACCCACCAAGCGTGAGAAACACGGTTGAGGCTACTTAATTTATTTGCACACGGGCCAGCCGACTCCAGCTTCGGACTGTAAAGAATTTTCAGGGTTACAGGGTCATTCGGCAGGGTGCAGGGAGGATACTCAGATCCTGATGATGGTATGGAAATAAGAAATGATAAAATTTTATTTTAAGGTGTTTAGAGAGTGACAACAAAATAAATCCCATAAGGGAAAGAGAGCGAGTTTGGAAAAGGAGCGACTATTTAAGACAAAATAATTCGACACGCGCGGGGATCTGAACATTCCTCGACGCGTCTAACAACATAGTATGTGTAGTAGAATTTACATAGTATCTACAATAGAAAATAGAAATTTTGAAAACAGTATCCGTTTCTAGGTGATACATAGAGAATTTGAAGAAAAAGAAATTTTCGTTTCTTCCTGAGGTCGTCGATTGTTGACACGGACCTCCGGCTGGACTTGATCATACATAACAAAACAGCGACATCAAGCCCGGATCGGAATCTGTTTTTCCATCAACCACGTTCTGCTCGGGAATTGCCGCTCGGGCCATGACGATATATAACAGCTATTTATGTGGACAGCACTGCTTGGGTGCTTGTCTAACACACAACATTATCGTGCATCGTGACTACATCAATATTCATCTCTAGCACACAGCCAAGACCATTTTTAATGTACCAAGACATGGTGGGAAAAAACAAGTGTCAAGTGATTCTCTCTTTCAAGAGAAGAAAATGATGAATGGTTCTGAATTCTGCATGTTAAGTATATTGTTTTTTTTTAAAAAAAAATCATAAGAAGAAATGCAATTTGAAACTGATTAAATGGGAGCAAAACAGGGCTACAGTGGGGGACACCATATTACTGTAACAAATTTGACAGTGTCCAAAATGTTGAGGAAGAAAAACCCAAAAACTCACCCCTCTGGATGGCAAAAAAGTGTGATTTTCTAGGCCAATCTGCCCAGAAAACCCACCTACAGTATGAATTCCAGTTCAATCTCAGGTCTCAGACCCACCCAACTTGCCCAAAAGTCATCCTGAGGGGATCATCACAGGGACTGACATTGGCATAGACATATATGAGGTGGTTACACACATAAATATATCCACTTGAACTCCATGCACATTTGCTTCAGGCTATCTACAAGTCCATGTTTAGGTTCCAACTACATCCTTATGGACTTGAAAGCCATTTTTAATGGCATGTGTCCAAAATTATGGATTTCAAAAAGTGAAAAAAGAGAACCATTGGTATGATTGCAAAACCAAATAAGAAATGGAAAGTACACACTCCAAAAAGCCCAAAAATGACACTTTTGGGGTTGAACACCACATGGCAGACAAACATTCAGCCGGCATGGTAAACTCAACTTTTGCTGGTGGGATGTTACAGTAATATGGTGTCCCCCACTGTAGTCTTTGGTTTTTCTTGGTTGGTGATCTTTGTGCTAAAGGTTATTGAACTTCATAGGTTCATGGACCTGGGAGCCAACTGAACAACCAACCAAGAATGTCTTCCGCAGAAAGTGTTGAAGAAATCTTTTTAGCTTCATAGATCCATTCATGCAGGAGTTCATGTCCATCAATGCAATAGTTGTTGTCTGGTTCCAACCCAAACCCTACAACAAACCATAAACTTGACTTTGTGAATCCATTGTGACTATTTTTGGGGGGATATGTTGTAAGGTGATTGACCAAACAAAAAAAATGCTTGAATTTTGTTTTTGGAACTGGAGTGGGAAAGAATGACATTGATCTGAAGTACAGCTTGTTTGGACTTATAATACTCTTTTCCTATCTATCCCCAGATTATCTTCTCACCTTAGTGGTGTAAATCAAATTCTGCCAGGGTTAACAGGAAGCCATTCACTGATTCTATGATTTTCAACAGTGTTGACCTCAGGCTCAGAGAAGGGAAGCCTTTTTGGAATACTGTAACATCAACTTTTAGCAGGTTGCCGTGGAATGAAATTTGTAAATTCTATAGACGGGCTGGTTGTCATTTTTCCAAGGAACACAAGTTTCCACAACCCTTCTTTTGAGGCTTCTAAAATTTGAACCAGTTTTCTGCAGGAGAAATTTCTTGGCAAGAGTTGGAACAATTGAACCACAAAGGTTTCCTGGATAAAGGGGTTTTTGGCAAGTTGTTCCAACTTTGATCAGACTACCAGGGGTTTTCCTAGGAGAAATTCTTCCCAGACATATATAAGCCATGCACAAATTGATTCCCACATGTTGTCTCCTCATGAGCTACACATGGGGATTAGAATCCTGCAACAACAAAGTTCCTCATTTCTGACATGTTTTCCACTCCGGATGAAGTAAGTGTCTTTTTCAATGAACTAGTTTGTTAAAAAAATAAGCAATAAAAAAAAACTTAGCAAATTCCTGGACCTGAAAATCGACCAAAAAAAATCTTTTCCCATTCCAAGAACTATTCACAGAGGAAAATTAAAGAACATTTTTTTGAAGGGGGAACCAAGGTTTCTATCAGGGACTTAATTTTGACCCAAGATTGTCATTTGGGTTCCAGCACACTTACGTTCATTTCACTTCCTCCACAGGTCTGGAAAAGATAGAATTCATCTCTGTTTGCGAAGATTGTGCAAGTCCAGTTGAATCCCTCGGTGCAGCACTGCGAACTGCGATGTCACTTCTCAGACGTGTCCGGTTGAGCAATTCCTGAATGACCCGCATCATTTTGTTTTAAGGGTGTAAAAATGGTTGCAATGTGCATCAAGGCAACCAGTCAGACTGAGAGGCATTTATGTACACAAATTCATAGATTTTAGAATACATAACTGAAAAACCACTTGCTAGGGGAACGCGAATACAGAATTCCGAAATCCGGTCCTCCGCTGCTCTTAACTCAGTGGATTCGAACCCGATGCAAAAGATCTGGAGAGTCCGGTGGTTAGCCTCACTCTACCTTCATCTTCTCTCAGCACTTGTGAGAGGGGGTCTTCATCAACTGGTAGATGTGGCTTTGAGCTTGAAGGATGAGCAAGGTAAAAACGTCACCTCACTTGCTTATATTTATACTTCGCTCTTCTGTTTACAAAAAAAAAAGTGCTTAATTATCAGTTTGCACAGGGCACAATACAATTGCATTCTCGGCGATAGGATTGGGAAAGCCAATTAAAACATTGATGCTATTTGGTCGGTCTGCCCTATACTTCTCTCAAGCCCTGGCCAGCAAATATTTCAGAACGATGGGATTGACACATGCCTCTACGTTGAGGATCTCTAGGAGATGATAGCGGCCTCGAAGAAAGTAGCGAAGGCCGAAATGGACGATCACCCCTTTTGAAATCCATCCGAGAGATTAAGGATGAAGATCACGATTTTCAGCCTGCTTTGAAGCGAACAAAGCTGGATCTCAATTTATCATTGGCTCCCATGCTGGATCAAAATCCAGCTGATATTCCCGATTCATCCACTTCTAGATTCTCAAGACCACATGGCATTGGTAAGTCTATCTGCATCAGCTTTGTATGTTATTTGTGAGGGGTGCGCCGGAAAGGAGTATGTGAAGATTAACTAGAGACATGGGTCCATCTGATAGGTTTTTGGTGTGTTACAGACTCAAATCAGTCAACATACACAACTCCTGTGGGTCTCAACCGTGTTTTGGAGCATCCTAGCAAGTCGGAAAATCAACTATCTTCCAGAAAGAACAGGTGCATGAAAGCTGAAGCCTGCAAGGTAATGGAAAGTGGAGAAAAGGATTGCAATACCATTGATCATGTTGATGTACCCAGCACTTCAAAGACTAGTGTAAAATATGAATATAACCAACACTCTGCTGTGGAATTTGAACCAAGTGCACAAGAGAGCTTGAGGGATTCAAAAATTGGCATCAGTCTGATCAAAACCAGCCCAGAAAACAGACAAAATTTCTCACCAAACAAAGGCATAAATCCACAGATGGACACAAAATATTGGGCTTGGATCTCAATCATACTGAGTCATTTGGAAGGTTCAATAGAGGATGAATTTGAAAAATATGGAAAACCAAAGATGGAGAAATTCATGACTCTATGCTACCCCTTCAAGTATACCAGAGCCAAAAAATCAGAAGAAGAATCTTGTGAGTATCATCATGTAAGACTCAGATTCAGAAAGTTTATCAAGCTATTATGGACTGCAAATTCCCAAATCTTGAAGAATTTAGGATCTCTTGAATCAAACTTTAACTATATCGAGGAACAAAGAGCAGTGCAGGAGTGGCTCCTGAATTTTAAGTCAAAGAAAATAAGATTTAGACCCTTTCCTCCAGCTGAAAAGGCCATCTTTCATGATGATTGGATAGAAAGTGATGAAGGAAAGATGTTCCAAAAATTAACAAGATCATTGGATGAAAAAGCAGAAATGACTGCCTACCAAGTCTACCAGGAAGGTTTGAGCAAAAATCCACTGGTGGTACCAAAATCAGATATTATCATGAATGTAGCTGTCTTTGACCTTCTTGAACATTATTACAAAACACTGAGCTGTGAAAAATGGGACAATACTTTTGGAAGTGAGGGATTTTCTATTCATGGATTGGCCCGGTTTGGAACCCTAATGAATGGTGGATCAAAAAACAAAGAGCTGGTCAATGAAGCAGATTCCAGAAAGAACACTCAATCTCTGATACTATGGAAAGCTTTCTCTGATCCAGAACTGCAGAAATCAATCCCAAATTATTTAAGTCTTGAACAAGTTTCATCTGAAACCAATTTGAAGCCAATTTTCAATCAAGAAGATATAGGCAAAATTCAAAAATTGGAAATTATTCACGACTTTGATCCAAAGAATAGAGACAAAGAAGCTTGGGCATGGATTGCAAGAGTTGAATTCAATAAAAAACTTAGATACAAAAAGTTATTCCAACCAACATCTGACTCAATAGTGAATCAAGTTAAGGCTTCCCTCAAGAAAGTTTCTGGGGAAAATTTATCTGGTGAGAAGAATTTGGACCAGCATATCTTTGGAATCTTGGATAGATTATTTGATATTCTTTGGGGATTGAATGAACAAGTACTTAATTTCTTTGGATGTCCATTCCTTGGGACCAATTATATTGATGCACAGAAATCAATTCAACTATTCTTTTTGACTTGCTTTGATGAGATGGATATCACAAAATCAAGAGATTTCCAGGAACCTACTCATGAGACAAACATGAAATTACGTATGGATATGAATGGGAAATTTATGAAATCGGTTCTAGATATGTTGACTCTAGATAAAGATGAAGAGATATTCCAAGTCAAACCAACGATGAAACATGCCAATTTCTCCAAGATAAAGCAATCTGATTTGATATTGGGAGAACTGGTAGTAAATGTGTTTGGATATTACCACAAGAACCAAAATCATGAGAAGTATACTCAAATTTTTCAAAGGGATCATTGGTTCTTCCGGTACTTGATTAGCCAGAGCTCCCAGATCTATTACTGCTCAAAATCCCGCCATAAGAAGACAGTTTTCAACTTTAAAGAATACACCACCTTCCCATGGAAAGAACAGATCGATCAAACAATGCCAGAAGTTTCACACAAACTTGGGTCAAGACCTATGGCCAATTTGAAGCTGTTGGTGGAAAGAATAGGGGAGATCAAATCTCAAATCTTTTAAACTTGTTTGTCTTGCAAAGTAATCTCACAGTTTTGGTAAGAACAATCCAGGAAAGAAGAAGTTTCCTGAGTTCCATTCTGTGTGCTAGCCTCTGGTACATGTTAAAGTGAACAGTATATGAAATCAAATATAGAGTTTTGAGTGATTTGAGTGTTACCTTTTTCAAAAAAAAAAAAAAAAATTACTGTACCAAAGTATGGGGTGAAACAGAAACCCACATCTGGGCTGATTGGGGACTATCCTGATTGCACCAATGAGATTTTTTTTTATTGATTTCCACAGGAAAGTTGCTTGACTGTTCGACAGCTAATCACAACACTCCTGCTGCACAAAGAAAAAGCCTGGAATTTCCAACAAAAAGAAGTTTGATTGGCACCTCATTATAACCCTTGCCATGACTAGCCTGCTCCTGAATCAGCCCAAAACTAAACAATGCCTCAAGACGTTTTTTTTTTCAGATTTGATGCCCCAGGCCTTATATTTCTTTTAGCAGGATAAGGTTCTCTTCCGATTGACACATGTCACCATTTTTTTCTTTTTTTCAATTCTTTCTCTCTGTTTGTCAATGAAAAAAAAAATAGTGCAACAAGTGTATCCCTGGATACAATCTGTACTCAGAATCCGAGACAATGTAAGGGCAAGTACATAAGTCAGAACGATTTGGGGTGAATATGTAGAAGATCACAGAATTCACTCCAGGCTGTCCATTCATACATTCCAATTGAACAGGTCCTGATCATCTCAAAGCACATCTGATACTATGTATTGTGACCCATAAGTGTTTTGTTTTTTTTAAATTTTCATGTCATTCAATCTTGCAATTGATTTTCATCAAACTTTTCTTCTTTTTAAAGTAACAAAGAGAAAGTAACAAAGTAAATGAAAGAATATATACATGAATCACATGAACTTTTGTGTTTAAATCCTGAACCATCATGAAGCTACAATATTCAATCAATTTTCTCCAAAAAAAAGGGGGGGTGTACCAAAAAAAAAAAACACCATGCATTAATATGACGAATTGCAAAGCTCCACGAGAACAAGAAAGAAAGAAAGAATGAAGAAGAAAGTCAAGAGGAAGTCGAGGGAAACAAGTTTTCGTCCAAGAGTTTCTGCAAGCTAAGTTGATTAGAGACCTTCCTGACCGATCCAGAGCGAGCGAACAGTGGGGACGAATGGTTGAAGGCGGTGGACGGAGAAGGGGAGAACGAGGAGGAGGAGGAGATGGCGGAGGAGGTTCCGAGGACGGAGTGTCTGAGGAACTGACGGTGATCGGGGAGCGAAGAATGGGAGGCCGAATGGGAGGAAGAGGAAGAGTGGAGGAGATCGGCGGGTTTGAAGGAGCGTTTGAAGAGATGAAGGGTGTTCCGAGAGAGCGGATTGACGGTCGGATCGAGCGTCAAGATCTCGTCCTTATTCAGTTGCTGCTGCTGCTGTTGATGCTGGTTATAAAGAGGGGCAGGAGGGAGGTGGGCGAGGCGCGGGGAGGGCGAGTTGGGCGAGGAGCGGAGCGAGGATCTGAGCGAGCTCGAGAGCAGTTGGTTTCGCGGGAGACTGCTACCTGATCGATTGAATGTCTCCGTCGAATGATGGCCCTACATCCTCCAAGAAGAAGAAAAAAAAAATCAGAACACGACAGAGAGAGAGTGTGTGTTTTGGATGACGAAAAGAGGACGAACGAGCGAGGCGGAGAGCGGGTGTTTCTTGGTGGACGAGTGGTGCAGATGTTGGACGCCTCCTCGGATCTGTTGCGGGGTCAATGGGAGCTCGACATGGGTCACTGGCGTCTGCGTCTTGTATCGGTAATACCCCTCGACCAGGTTTCCGAGTAAAATCACCAGGAGGAGCCATTCTGTATTGTTGACCAGCAGCGGTTATATGCATGAGCTTAAGGGGGGGGGTTTCAACTTTTTTTTTTGGTGGAATAAGAGAGAAGGATTTCGGCTGACCTGTTAGTTGGAATGGGACCGACAGGAACGGGAATTTGTTGACGATAGAAAGGACGAGTTGACTATTAAACAGCAAAGAGAATCAACCCGGTTCGTGTTCTGACTGCACAGATTGAAGGAGGAAAAAAGGGGACAAACTTGTAGATCTGGGTGGAGGTGATAATCCAGACGATGATCAGCGAGAGAAGATTGATACGGATGCGATCGAGGATGGATTTCTGGCCGAGGATGAGGCCGGTATGGGCGAGATTGGGGTTGAGACTGATGGGCACTCTAGTCGATTTGAGAGGGGTGCTTAAATTAAGGCTGTTGTTGTTGTTCTTGGGGGTTGAAGGAGTAGGCAGTGGCGAGTTCTTGGTGTTGTTGTTGTTGGGAGTGCTTGGTGTTGTTGTTGGGTTGTAGTTCTTGATGAGTGGTTGTTTGATGGGTGTGTGTGGTTGTTGTTGTTGTTGTTCGGTTACTACTAAGTCTTGGATCCAGCTCAGTTGGTTCTCGGATGGGTTGTTTGTTGAGAAGTGGACTGTTTTCGGTTGTGAGTATCTCTTGAGTGGTGAGTCCATCATCGAGCTGTTCATCATGGTTGGTTAGTTGTTGCTGGTTGGTATCAGTCACTATTTATTTTTTTTTAAATTTGTTGGGGGGGAGAGCACAATTATAAAGGAGCAGATGCCCATGTGACAGTCGGCTGACACTCGCAACAGAAAGGGGCCAACCAGTACTACCATACAACTCAAGCAAAAACATCTGGAGACAAACCAGAGTCAAGCCTACATTTGTAAACCCTTGAATCAGATTTCCTTGCAAAATCTGACTCCAATGGGTTCAAATCTAATTCTTTGGGGTCTACAGATAATGAGAAGAAGTCATCCACTCTTGATAACCTGGAAGAACCCTCTCAGCTGATGAGAATGTACACTCTCAACAGCCGTCAGCCGTTGAGTGTACGCTCTTGAAGACTGGGAGGTAAGGATGGCAAACAGGCAGGCTTGGGCTGCCCGTGGGCCGGCCCGCCAGGGCCCATCATCTTAGCAGGCAGGCTTGGCCTGGCCCATTTAGCAAATGGGCTGGCCTGGCCTGGTCCATTTTGCAAACGGGCTGCCCATGGGCTGCCCGTGGGCTGCCAGCACAGAAAATAAAAGACAGAAAATGAAATATTAAGGACAAGGAGGCTGGCAAGTTTTTTCAATTCATTCAATATAAGTAAAAACAAAAAGGACTACAGCTTCATGGAGGTGGGCATTTTTTTCATTTCATTCATTTTTCAATGATTTTATGTAGAAACGTGTGTCAATATAAGTAAAAAAAAGAGAAACATGTGTAAATATAAGTAAAAAAAGAACTATAACCTATTTTTCTTTGAGCCTTTCATCCAATCCTGGGTGCATATTAAGATTTCAACTGATTCATCACTGAGGCGCATGCGGTAATCGTCTAGAATGCGACCTCCAGTAGAAAAGGCAGACTCAGATGCGACTGACGTCATTGGAATCATGAGAATGACCCTGGCAAACTCAGACAAAGAAGGGAATCGGGTTGCATTTGATTCCCACCAAGCTAGAACGTTGAAGTGATCTTCCGAGGCGTTTACGTTTCGTTCTTCAAGATATAGATCCAACTCTGCCGCCGGAGCATTGAATTGAGAACCGCCCTGGGTGCCGGCCATGTACTCCTGGAATCCAGAGATATCGGCATCAATCTTCCTCTTGTTTGTGGTGGTTGATTGAGACACAGTTGCTGGGCTGGGATCGGGTGACTGAGGGATAAACTGATTCCAGAGAGATAAGAAAGATGATCGAACTTTTCCAATAAAGGTATCGGCTCGTGCCACTGGGAGATTTTCCAGCTTCTCAAGGCTGTAGCGGAGATAGCGTATCTTGTATCGAGGGTCTAGAATAATTCCTATGGCCGTAAGTTCCTTTGCCGATTCCCAGTATTTGTCAAACTTTGCCTTCATCGGGGAAATCATATTGAATATGTGAGGATGTTCTTTTGAGTTGTTGGTTTGGGTGAGCCGCATCTCGATAGCTGTCATTGCTCGGTAGGCTTGGTTGATTGTTGGATACTTGGTCCCACTTAGCAAAACAGTGGCTACAAGGATTGAGTTATAGAATCAGTACAAATTTATAGGTGCAAGAGAAAAGAAAAAGAAGTTTATGCTCACCTCGATAAAATGGTTCAAGGAATTCTTGGATGACTGCAAGCTCCTCCCATTCAAGCTCGCTTGGGCAAGATTCAAATTTGTCATCTTCAATGGCTAGCTGTTGGAAGGCGAGCTTGCATGGCGTGGAGGACTGGATCATGAGGAACGTCGAGTTCCATCGGGTCGGGACATCTTTAGAGGGGTGTTGGCTTTCTGGGTCAAGGTCTACCACTTCGCGAGCTTTATCAAATGCATCCAAACGGGATTTCGAGCCGTGTATATAGAGAACACTTGTGCGGAGTCGCTCAATAGCAGTACAAACAGTCTTGAGCCCATCCTTGACGACAAGGTTGATAATGTGGGCCAAGCAACGGACATGAAAGAATTCGGATGTTGATGGAGTTGAGGCGGAGGAGTTGCGATCATTGATAAATCGTTGCAGTCGAGCCATGGCCACATTGTTGGAACTTGCATTGTCAAGCGTTACGAATCCAATCTTGTTCACGGCTTTCCATTCAAGCAAGATCTGGCTGAGTCGGTCGGCAATCGCTTGTCCAGTGTGTGGAGGTGGGAGGGTTCGGAAGCTGATTATTGTTTTGATCAGTTCCCACTTAGGGTTAATGTAGTGGGCTGTCACTACCATATAGCCGGTCATATCAGACGCAGACCACAAATCAGTAGTCAGCGATATAGCGGTTGCTTTTGCTACCTTGGTGGATTCTATTGCTTTCATGCTTTCGAACACCTTGATACAATCGTTGCGGACACTCTTGCGTCCAGGTATCTTGAAGTTCGGCTGAGCTGCTTCCATGAAATCGGTGAATCCGTCGCCATCTGCAAACGCAAAAGGAAGTTCGTCTCGAATTATCATCATGGCCAATTTTTCGCAAATGAGGTCTTGAGAGAACGTCCAGGAGCGGTTAGGCATCATCGTGGAGGATCCGGGTAAACTGACAATGCCTTGTTCGGCTCGACTGCCCCCCCGTGTGCCTCGATGCACTTTTGCGAATGACGGCGGAGGTGGTTCGTCCCAGATGATGGAGCTGCAGAGAGTCTAGTGTTGCAGTAATTGCACTGCGCCTTGGGTTGCCCATCTATTTAATTACCAGAATTAAAATCAAAACAGTGTCAATTGGCACAGTGCAACTCTTGAGATTCAGAATCATCAAACATCAAAGAAAAATCTTACCTTCCTCAAGGCTCAGGAAGTGCTCCCAAACCTTGCTTGTACGTTTGCGCCTCTTTGCTTGGCTGTCATCTTGGGATTCACTCACACTCTCCGCAGGGGGGCCAGCAGGGGTCTGAGGTGTCCGTCTAGTACCCGTCTTTGCCAGGTGGAATTGTGCAGGGGTCTCCTGGATATCAGATGCCACATCTGACTCGCTCTCACTTTCCCTTGGTGACGGACTGCGGCGTCTGTGACTGTTGGTGTTGGGTATGACCATTTTGTTTGGGTTGACTCACTGTGGATAGATGCAAATGGGGGTGGGAACAGTTTGGAGTTGGAATTACAGTTTATTTGGAGGTGGGTGGGGACTTGGGGAGTGCCTTCAAATTTGGGGTGGGGAGATACAAACTGAATCAGATTAGGAGTGGGGTACAAACTGAATCAGCTCATGTTGAACAGAAGAAGAATATCACAGAAGGATGAGAATATGAGAATAAGAATGTATACAGCATGCACTTACAGGTTTCTGTTGTAGATAAGTTATAACACAAGAACCCAGATGAAAATTGGGTGGTGCTTTGTGAATGTGTAGCTGGGTGGATCAGATTTGGGGTGGGGAGATACAAACTGAATCAGCTCATGTTGGACAGAAGGATGAGAATATGAGAATTTGTACAGCATGCACTTACAGGTTTCTGCTGTGGATAAGTTATAACAAAAGAACCCAGAAGACAATTGGGTTGTGCTTTGCCAAAGTGTAGCTGGCAGCCTGGGTGGGGTGGGAAGATACAATCTGGATCAGCGGCTCAGCCTCAGCCTATGTTGGACACAATAAGATAAGAATGTAACATTGAAATTTGTTTATATGAATGTCATCAACAAGCGAGTACTTACAGGTGCTCACGTTTTGGTAAGCCAGAGGTGCTGTTGTGCTTTTGCCAGGTGGATCAGAATGAATGCTTGCTTTTTGGTAAGCCAGAGGTGCTGTTGTTTTGGTGCCAGGTGGATGAGAATGAATGACTCGGACTCACAAGCAATCACTCCTGAGTCTTCAGTTGTAGCTAGTAGCAGAGCAAGCTGAAGAATGGATCCACCACGAGCAACGAGTATTCCAGGTGCAAACGAGTCGGAGTCGCTGAGCTTGGAGCCTGAATGTAAGTCGGAATTGATTATTGTACTCGTTGATTCACTGATTCAGATCGTGGAATCGATTTGCGGCTGCTGGAGCCTCGGACAGAGTTGGTCGCAGTCGGACTCGCAGACTCGACTCCGAGTGCCGATGATTGAAGATTGTCAATTTGATTCAAGAGTTGATTTAGATTTTTTGAAGCTTACCGACGACCGTAGTTCTGAATGTTGAAGTTTGAAGTCCGCGGACCGCCAGCGCCGAAATTCGAATGGGCAGCGGCTCGCTCTCAGTCTCGAGTCCTCGACCTCGACTCAAGTCTCAGAGTCACAAGTGTCGAGTCTCAGACTCTCAGTCTTCAGTGCCAGACTCAGCTGAGACCTGAGCGCCCCTCGGACCTCCCCCCACCCCCGGCCGGGGAACACTGAATGGGGGGGCCCATTAAGAGTCCAATGGGCACCCCACCCAGCCCGGCCCAAGCACGGGCCTGATGGGCCGGGTCACACGCGGGCTATTCTTAAACGGGTTTGGGCCAAACCCGGCCCGAACCCGAATGGGCCTGGGCAGCCTGTTGGACACCCTGCCCATTTGCCATCCTTACTGGGAGGAAAGGATTCTGTTGAGATCTGAGCATCACCTGCCCAGACAAATCTCCCTAATCTCAAAGACCACTACATCTCCCCTTCTTTGTCACTCTTGTTTCCTTCTCTTGGGGAACTTCTAGGTTAAAATCTACAACCTAATAAATAATATCATCTTAAATACCTTAGTATTACTCTTATTTCCTCCATCTGACACAACTTACCTTCAACAAGCTCATCTCCCAAACGACAATTGTCTCTATCATTACATAATACATTGCAAGTCACATTCTTCTAGCACATACCTTCTACTCAAAATTTCACCAAAGACCAAAGTGCTTCCCTTCCTTCTTGCCATCTTATTGATCTTCTTCCAATCTTTTTGGTCATGTCACTTGTGTAGGTTTATGAGACTCAAATTGTCTTTTGTCCTTTGTTGGTCTGGATATTAACACAACTGTCTTCTTTTAGTCACATCTCAGTGTCCCGCTCCTGTCAAATACTTTTGTTCTTTTGCCTTTAGGTTAGAAAATTTCTCTCTTTTTCATTTCCTGTATTTGCTTCTTCATTGAACTCATCAGGAAGTAAAACCTTTGGT